GACATGCAGCAAGTGGTGTTCCAGGGTTCTTCCAGACTAGAGGCTGGGTCAGTCCACACCTTGGCCAGGCTACAAGAGCCACCTACTAGGCGAACATTTCATCCTGATTCTAGAACCCAGAGAGGGGACCAGCTCAAGGCAATGTCCCCTCTAAGATTCCCACCAGCAAATCCAGGAAGAAAAGCAGGGTGCCTGGACACAATGGGCAGGCTGTAGGAATGTTGGGTGTAAGTGAGACTACCTTTGAATCAAAGACTATTTTAATGTACCCAGGGAGCAGACATCTCAAAGCAATGTCACAATGGGTTTTGCCAAGAGGATTTGTCCCATTGGGTCCCCACCCTGACCTGGTGATGGACAGCAGGTATCAACACCCCTGCTCTACAGGTGAAGGAATGGAGGCAAATGGGTCCAGGTAAGAAATAATATTACATGGCAGGAATACCTGAGCACCAGGAGAAGAACACAGCACCCACTCCTAACCTGGCTCAGATTTTGTATGCAGTTTTTCACGAAGAGAATAATTACATTTTTCCCTGAAAACACACACTTCCACACATTGGATTTGCTTAAAGCAAGACAGGCCTTTGGACGTGGCCTGCATTCCACAGCCTGCTCTGCATGTCCCCAGGCAGTGCAGGGGGAAGGCACAAGGAAGAGGCACAGAACCAGTCCCCAACCATTTGACAAATCCAGTAAGCTCAGAATCTGAGCCGACAGCAGCCTCAAGGGNATTTCCTGACATGAGCTGGCCACTAACCCAATTACCCAGAATCCCCCGAGGAGCCTCAGCCTTCCCCACAAGCGCAAAGTGAGAGCCAGAGCTCACCGCATGGATGTCAGCCTGGCTTTCGCTGGAATCAAGGATCTTTTAGAAAACACTTGCGGAAAGGCGGGCAGATGCTGAGCGGGGGAGGAAAGGGAGCAGGCCTGGGAAGCCAGCGGCTTGAGGGAAGTGAAGTGAGGTGAGGTGAGAAGGGGACGTCTGCAGGGAAAGGCTGTCTAGGGAGAGGTGCTGAAATCCCAGGGTGTACTGAAGACGTGGGGAGTGCCCTCCGACATGCAGCAAGTGGCGTTCCAGAGTTCTTCCAGACTAGAGGCTGGGTCAGTCCACGCCTTGGCCAGGCTACAAGAGCCACCTACTAGGCGAACATCCTGATTCTAGAACCCAGAGAGGGGACCAGCCCAAGGCAATGTCCCCTCTAAGATTCCCACCAGCAAATCCAGGAAGAAAAGCAGGGTGCCTGGACACAATGGGCAGGCTGCAGGAATGTTGGGTGTGAGACTACCTTTGAATCAAAGACTATTTTAATGTACCCAGGGAGGAGACATCTCAAAGCAATGTCACAATGGGTTTTGCCAAGAGGATTTGTCCCATTGGGTCCCCACCCTGACCTGGTGATGGAGAGCAGGTATCAACACCCCTGCTCTACAGGTGAAGGAATGGAGGCAAATGGGTCCAGGTAAGAAATAATATTACATGGCAGGAATACCTGAGCACCAGGAGAAGAACACAGCACCCACTCCTAACCTGGCTCAGATTTTGTATGCAGTTTTTCACGAAGAGAATAATTACATTTTTCCCTGAAAACACACACTTCCACACACTGGATTTGCTTAAAGCAAGACAGGCCTTCGGACATGGCCTGCATTCCACAGCCTGCTCTGCATGTCCCCAGGCAGTGCAGGGGGAAGGCACAAGGAAGAGGCACAGAACCGGTCCCCAACCATTTGACAAATCCAGTAAGCTCAGAATCTGAGCCGACAGCAGCCTCAAGGGACAGGGTGAGCCAGGGAAGCCACACATCTGACCTTTTCCTTGGCAGATGCTGGGACCCCCAAATCACGAAGCAGTCTCTCAGATTATTTTACTTAGAGGAAAAATTAGGAAAGGCACAGAGAGCTGCTGGGTAGAAGAAGGAAGAGTGTTCAGATGTGTAGGTGAGGGGAGGAAGAGGGCAGGCGGGATGTATTCTCTCCTTTCCAAGACTCCTGAGACTCTGGCCCCCCAAAGCCCGCTCAAGGCCCACTATAAGACTCTAAAGCCCTAAAGTTGGGGAACAGTCCGGGGAAGGGGGAAGGGAAGTTTGCCTTTAAGAGTCAAATCAGAGTCTAAGGGAAGATAGAGGGAGGCAGGCAGCCCAAGCTGGTCCCAGAGGCTCGGGCTCTGCACGCAGAGCCAGGAGGGGCACCCAAACAAAAGCAGGAGCCTCGGCAGCTGCCAAGAGCCCCTGCCTGGCAGGGACCCAGGCTCCTGAATGAGGCACGCTCCTCCTAAGGGGGCCAGTCTCCACGGAGCTTCAGATCCCAGGATCTCACCCAGGCTCTGCTGGGGACAGACACTAAACAGAGGGGCTCTCAGGAGCCTTTGTGTCATCTTTCCCCTTGGATTTAGTCCTGCTGGTAATGATGGGGAGTGGGAGGAGGGGAGTGTTCAGGGACTGTCCCTTCCTCCTTCAAGCAGAGCTCTTAAAGGACCTCTTAGGACCCGGCACATCTGCCTGGCCCCCACCAGCAGCCTGGGATGGCTGGCTGCCACTCTTGACAGGGGCCATCAACTGCAGGGCTACTTACGGCCAGGGCTGGTCAACACTGGGGCTCCCTCTGCATGCCTGCCACATGCTCCCAGTACCCCCATGCCCTCATCCTGGGACATGCAGCATCCATCTCACTTCTCTTACAAGTGCCTGCCCACATGCCCCAGCTACTGCTACTGATCGACTGTGCACTTGGCCACTCCCTGCCCTGCCCTCAGTGGGTCCCCCTGATCATGTCCCTCTTTCTGGAAACCACTAGAAAGTACTCCCACTCTCTTCCCAGTACTAGGTAGCCCCTATAGACACTCTGTTCAGCACTGCAAGATGGCCCAGGAATTTTGAGTGCTGGCCTCCTCTCCACCCTCCCCCGTCCCCGGCGGGCAGACACAGCAGGAGAAAGGGAAGCTACAGCTCCCCTTGAGCCAGCGAACCAGCCCAGCGTGTGACTGAGGTGGGAGCATCATTTCACCCCAACCCTGGCACAGTTCAATTGGCACCCTTAACATTCAGGGGTACGTTGATAACTAGGAAGCTTCTTTCTGCTCTAAGTTCCTTAGATGCTGTGAAATAAGCAGCGAGGCTGCACACTCCAGCCAGGAGAGGCAACTGGATAGCTGCCTCCGTCCCCAGGTGGACCTGATGTCCTCACACTCAGATTCCCAGAACACAGTGGCAGCTGTGTCTCGTGGACTTGAGAGGAAGGAGCCTAGGCTTTGAAACGCTCATGCTCCCGGTGGCATGCAGAGGGAAGTCAAGAGACCAGCGCTAAGGCGTGCTTCTGTGGGCCTTTGTGCCTCAGTTTCCCCATCTGTGAACACCAAAAGGCTCTGAAAGAGCAAACAGAGCCTGATGTAGGAGTCAGGGGACCAGGTTCAGCCACTAGCTTGAGTCACACCCTACACAGGGACAAGACCAAAACTGTGAGTCAAAATGAACCAACATACAGTGCAGGTCCAATTACAGCCCATTTTAACCTAAAGAGAGAGCTGTTTCTTCAGCTGGCATGTGCCTAGAGCAAAGGGGTTAAATGAAGCGACTAATGAGAAATGCATTTTAAAGGCCAACGTGCTACAAACACACAAGGGGTAGTTGAGGACCTGCTTCAAGAGCTTCTGTTTTACAGGCACAGATGCAGGGCTTAACTGAGATGAAATGAGGGGACCGGGAATGGGAAATGGAAGGGGAAGGCTCCAATTTCCACAACACACAAAGCTCTAAGTTGTCCTATTGACAAAGCATCTTATATTTGAGCCCTCTACCCCAGAGGGTGCTGGGAGAGGGGGCGGGAGCAGTGCCCTGGGCTCCTAAAGGGTGAGCTGGGCTTCCCGATGCCCACTCCCAGCCCCTCCCCGTCCCAGTGAGGGAGACCTGCCCCATTCCTTTTCTCTGCTGGGCCCCTCCCGATCATCCCCACACACCTCTTTTCCTGCTTCTTTCAACTTCTAGAAAAATCCTGGGGCCCAGAAGCATGAAAGCTGATCTCTAAGAACTTCTATTGGCTTCCCACACGCCTGCACGCGCGCACACAACACTCCATCCCCAACACGAGGATCATCAAACCGAGCAGATCAATAGGGAAAGTGAGGAAGGAGAAGACCTAGAGCAGTTGTCCCAATAATGAGCCACATGTCACTTTAACTTCCTAGCAGCCACATTAAAGGTCAAAAGAAGCATGTGATGTTAACTTCATGTGTCTCAGTTAACCCAATATATCCAGAATATTATCATTTCTGCATTCAATCAATTTTTTAAAAATTATCACTACCATATTTTACACTGCCTTTTATCGTTCATGAAGTCTTCAAAATCCAGCATGTGGTTTACACACTGAGGACAGGTCTCAGTTGAGCCACGTGTGGCTCTAGCTGCCATACTGGACGGTGCAGCTCTAGAGGAGAAAGAGACACGACAGGGAGAGAAAGGGAAGGGAGAGGATGGCGGTAGAGCAGGGAAGGGAAAGCATTCTCAAGGAGAGAGCTCTGTTCTGTCTACCTGCTGGAAAACAAAGGCCCTTCTTTGCAGGTGTGGAGTACCTGATTTACCATTCTGGGCCTTAATGTCTCTGCCTTTTTCACCTCCAAATTCTTAGAGGCACTGGGGGGTAAAACAGCTTCTCAAGCCTACACCTTCCAGGGTGGAGAGGGGGCTTGCCCCAAAGGAGGGCTTTCCCAGAGTGCCAAGCCACCTGCCTAGGGCCCAAGTGGGGTCAGGAGTACCCGAAGGATCCGTAATAGAGAATTTCCAACTACCTCGGAGCTGTGGCTGGAAGGCGGCTTTCAGGGTGTGGGAACAGATGGGCACCCTGGGTGGGGGGTCTTACACCCATGCAAGAGGGACTTCTAGGAAGCTGCTCACGTGCGCTGCCCCTGGGGATGGTCCACAGCTTGGGGGCATCTCTCAGGGGCCTGAAACTCCCAGTGAGAAGAGCTTCGCCCTGACCCCGGCCTGGCCGCAGGCCCTTACCTTCCTTCAGCATCCCCACTTTGAGGCATTTCATGAAGCGGCAGGCCTGGCAGGACTTGCGCCTCCGTTTCGTGATCTCGCATTCATTGGTGGCTGGGCAGCTGTATTCGATGTTCCCTGAAACCAGACACAGAGAGGGTTGCCAGGTGCCCGTGTCCAGGGCCCAACCCGCTGCTGAAAGGCTGGATGAGGACTAATTAGCCGGACCTACAAGTCTCCCCACTCCAAGGGTCCCATGGGGTGGTGGATCTCAAAGCAGGCCCTCGGAGGTGCTTGTCAGGTTGTTTCCAGCTCTCTTCCACACAGAGACTCCAGTTCACAGGTCTGAGCAGGCCAGGCAGCCACTTGGATAAATACTCCCCTGAGAATGGTCACCCATCATTTTTGAAGCCACCATTGGGCTAGGTTATCAAAACTCATTGGGCTGGCATTTATCCCAGGAAGAGAACGCCCCCTGTGCTGACAGAACAATGCAGATCACCACCACTGGCCCCCCTGGCCTCCAGCCTGGAGCCCCCAGCATGTGGGAAAAGCTTCTGGGAAACTCTGAGCCCACAGGGATCAAAACCTGGACTCTGTCACCCACTGGGGAGCCCCAGCCACCCATCTTTGCTGACCTTGAGGAAATCCCATTAGTCTCAATTTTCTTATCTGCAAAACTGTGATATCAACTAACAAAGGATTAAGCAAGAAGACCTTGTGTGGAACATTGCTTTAAAAATGGTAAAGTGCTAGTCAATGCAAGGTATTCATTTTATAAGCATAATCCATTACGGCAGAGGGAATGTGTGATTTATTTTTCAGGTCACCCCTTAAATGGTTATAATAATGGCTACCACGAACCTGACCCCATGCTGCCAGTAGTCTGTGTGTGAGCCCCATGAGGCAAGAGCTCGTGCCGCGCTCCCCAGCCTGCAGCAGCACTCAGAGAAGACCCGCCACACACAGGGAGGCAAGAAGAATGTGCTGGATGAACGATCTACTGAATCCTTCCTCACAGCAATTCGCGATGTGGGTGCTAATACTACCCCATTTTACAGATGAGAAACCCGAGCTGTACAAGAGTTTCTGTGCAATATAAACATGCGGGTCTTAATGAGGTGGAACTGACCTTCAAATGCTCTGGGGAGGTCTCTTTCTCTTTTCGGTGCCCCTTCCTGGGAGGGTTTATGGTCTAGTCAGAGGCTGTGGCTGCCCTTCTAATATGGGGGCATAGCATCCAGCCTACACACTCTAGTCTGTCCACACTTATTTCACTAGTCTGTGCTGCACACCTATAACTTGCCTGGTGGTGGAAGGAAGGGCAAGGAGGGGGCGAGGGTAAAGAAAGTGGGAAGGTACAGATGAAAGACAGCAGCATGGCAAAGGGCTGTTTCGTAGTTATTTTGCCTCTTTGGTTCCTGTTCCAAAGTCAGGGAGTCTGCCTGAGCCTGTGGTTTTCAGAACAGAATATCTGAACCAGAACAAATCTATCCTCCCAGGCCCACCCAGACACCCACCTCCTGAGGGAGCAGGGAGAAGTTTGAGGCCTGTCTATCCGCTGAGTTCCCTACACCTAACCCCATCCAGTTCACGGTAGTAACAGCTAAGATTTACTGTGCACCTGCTACGTGCATAATCTGCACCAGCTGCCTTGATCCTCACAGCCCTCTGAGGCAGGCACATCAGTGCCCCAGCATACAGACCAAGAAACTGAGACTCAGGGAGCTGAAGTGAGTTACCCAAGGCCACACAGAGATCTGGGGCCACACCTGCATCTCCCAAGCAGCTTGGGGAAATAAAAATGCCACCCCTCAAGATCAGGCCTGTTGCCAACCAGCAGCTGAGGTAGTGTGGGGGCCAGTAGGGCAGGAGAGTGTCCTTGGGCCACAGCCTCCCCATGTAGGATCTGGAAACCACTTACTACTCGATTTTCTGGGAACAGGCATGGACCATGTTCCACCACTACAAAGTGCTTCCGAGTAGTAAAATTATCGACTCCCCATTACAACGTGCCCAATTGTATTGAGTACTCACAACAGCTCAGTGTTCTTGTCCCCATTTTCACAGGTGAGGAAACTGATGTCCCCAGAGCCTCTCCACAGGTGACAGGTGACTATTCTATTCCTCTCTCTCCCTCAAGCCCAGCTGGCATCACCTTTCTCCCTGTCATATTTCCCCACTCCTTGCAGGGAGGGAGCTGGAGGTCACCTTCTGTGCAGGAGGGCAGGTTACACGAGGGGAAGGGATGAAGACCCCCGGGCCCTTCACATCTTTTATCTAATCCTAACCATTTCTTACAGCACTCTGGCTTGTGAGGCTTCTTGGGAAATAATTTCAATATTCACATAAACACGGTAAAATCAAAAAGATAAACAGGAAAAAACACATACATAAACTAATTCATCCACATTTTAGCACAGCTTAGAAGGCTCCTTAGAATCTGGTCCTGCCCTCATCCCCAGTCACTCTGCATAATTATTGATTCCTGGAACTCGGTAACCTCCTGGGCTTCCAGACCTTGGCTCCTGGCTCAGAACAAGCCCCTCGCTCGGCCTGCCACATCTCCAGGTGCCACCTGGGGAGGTGCTCCTTCTCCGGGCTGACAACCTCTGCCGCCTCCATCGCCTGTGTTGTAACTGTCTGTCTCCTCTACCCGGTCCAAGTGCACACAGTAGGTGCCCAGTGCACACTGAGGGCTAACCCAGCAAGTGTTTTTTATGGAGCAGCTACAGTTCTGCTTTACATATATTGAGTCTCTAATGCTCCCAACAACCGTGGAAATAAACATATTTTCTCCATCTTACAGAGGGAGAGCAGGACGTGAACCCAGGCAGTCAGTTCCAGAGTCTGCTCTGAGCTGCCTTGCAGTGAGCACCTGGTGCTGCCTTGGGATGTGGCTTGCACACTGTCACTTTCCCCGTGCCCTGCTCACAGTTGCATGGCCAGCCTGTCACAGGAGGTTGCTGGGGGAAAAGGGGATGTGTGTGTGTCAAGACATGTGGATTTAGCACTGGTACTCTTCCAGGACAAGAGAACTGAGTGCAAACAGCAAGTCTTGAGCAGCTCTTGACCCTGCATGTGTTTGTGTGTGTGTATGAGAGAGAGAGAGTTCTAATTTTATTTATTTATTTTTGTTCCTTCCAATTTGTTTTATGGCCTCAGCGGCTGGCTGCCAGCAAAACCAGGCTGGTGGCCTTGCCTTGCAATTTTTGTAAGTGCCTCCTTGATAAAGTGATGCGATTAATTCATCAGAATTCCTGTGGTCTCTAGGGGAGTATACAAGAACTCAGAAACAGGGAGGGGACATCAGTGGCACATGCACACACACAAGCCAAAGTATGGCAGGTTTTTGGGGGTGGTCTCTCACAGGACAGGGACACAGCCAATGGCCAGCATAAATTCAGGGTTCTAACCCGGGAGTACAGACTCCGCTTTAGGCAAGTCACCTAACTTCTCTGAGCCTCAGTTTCCTCATCTATAAAATGGGTTCAGTACATTCCCATCTCATAAAGTTGTATAGATTCAGTGACAGAAGCACGGAAAGGGCTTAGTGAAGCTCATGCATTCACTAATGCCTGCTCTGACATTCAGGCAGGTCTGCCAGGGTAGATGCAGCCAGAGGACTCTGGGATAAGCCTTTTCTAGGCGTCAGATTTGAGGCTAGCCACCCATCCTAACATTTAAGAACATTGAGATCTGCCTCCCAGAGCTAGACCTGAGTGGATGCTGCTTGTGCCTGTTGGGGAGAGGAAAGCACACCACACCCAGACTCTGACCTGGATGTCCATGTGACCCCAAGGCAGAGGGGTAATTGCCACCACCCACGCTCTTTGATCCTGAGCTGCCCAGGAGAAGGAAATCCCAGGGACATCCCATCAGCTGTCCATGAACAGCTGCAAGTGAGCAGGGCAGCCCTGCCCCAGGCTCCGGGATGGGGGTGGCTAAGCTTAGATGAACAGCTCTTGGGAACCTGTGGGTTCAAAGGCTGCTGCCCAGCATCCAAGCCTGAATGGCCCCCAATGCCAGTGGCTGGTGTGAAAGGACTGGGCTGACAATCACTTAAGCATCTCCCCTGGAGGACAGAGACTAATCCTTTCATCTCTGTGCTGCCCACTGTCTTCCCTCTCCGCCCTTCCCTCCTCCTTCCTTACTAGCTGGATAATCTCATTTATGCCACTGGCTTCTGCAATCACGCAACCAGCAGAGATCTGCAGCAAGATCCACTAGCTTTGCTCACTTGCTTATATCCACCTACCTGCTGGCTGCTCCCACCTGGGGTCACTGACTGCATCCCTTATCTCACTGAAGGGACAACTGGCCACCTTGCCCTAAGTAAGACACTGAGGTGGCATCCTGATTCTTCCCTCTCTCCTCCTAAGATCCTTTTCATCCTGCTTCCTTGCCATTTCCTCCCTCCTTCTCTGTGGCCACAGCCCTGGCTTGGACACTCATCACCCCTCGCCTCCACTGTAATGCACTGGCCTCCTGTCTCCACACCCCTTTCCAGTGGATTCTCCACATCACCCCTGGAGGGATGTAAAAAACTTTCCTAGACAAAATCCCTCAGTGGCTCTCTGGTTCATCATGGCACACTGAACACACATATCTACAGGCCTTCCCAAAAGCCCACTAAATGTCAGCACAGGAGTGGGAACTGTATCAGTCAATGGAGGAAGGAGAAACCTAAGTAGCTAAAGTAAGGGATCCCGATAAGAAATAAGCCATGTGCACCACAGAAGCTCAGAAAGCCTCAGGCACTAAAGACTCAAAGTACAGCAGAACAAAGCGTGAGGCTGGAGCTGAAAACACAACTTGCTGGAAGTCTGTATCCCATTCCATGTGGCTGCCAAGTGTCCCTCCCCAGCCTGCACAAGAGGAAGCTGACTTAATCTTGGAGAATATGAGAAGTGACCTTCTGGACTCAGGGACCCTAGGCTCAGCTGAGGGCAGACGGGAAGCTGAGGCTGAAAACAGAAAGGATGAATATTATGCTCAACAGTGAGACCACTCAGCCCCTCTCTAAGCCCACTCCCAGAATTCCAGCAGCCACATGTACACCCCCACAACACAGGTATTGATATGATTCTTCTCTAGAGAAACTAAGCATCAGAGAAAAGACCAGCAGATAAAACTTT